CCTTGTCTCTTCTGCCATCCACCCCGATTCGCATCCCATCTCCCCTGCTACACCCGTCGGAGCGTGCTACAATAGTGGGAGCGTGCTACCCAACCTCTCTTTCTCCAACCCTCATTACGACCATCTCCCAATCCCCCTCAGTGGTGCTTTATCAGGCTCAAGGACCATGTTAAGGGGCGGAGCCGACTTTGTGGCCGGGTGTGCGGGAGGTGCAGCCGACCGTCTACACTGGGTGACGTTGACATAGGTGAGCACATCGACAAAGTTGGTCGACATGCACAGGGCCAGTGCAAAGCCGCCGTCAACGAGAAGCAGGCGGCCGACTTCAACTTGGTGGTCGACAAAGGGACTCCTCGACCTGGGAGGGTGCCGACCTTGGGAGGCCGACTTGGCGAAGTCCACGGACAGCTTCAGCGTCGTCAACGAAGTGTTTGTTGACCTACGGTTTAGCCGACTTCGGTGAAGTCGGCATCTGCGATGCCGACTTGGTGGGATCGGCGGAGCCGACTTTGTAATCGGCCAAGTCAGCTTGGTTCGCGGACTTGGAAGATCACGTCGGCGTAGTTAGCCGACTTTGACGGTTAGCTGACTTGGAGAAAGTTGGCTACATCGGAGCCAACTTAGGCAAAGCTAACCAAAACGCTGGTCGACTAGGTGAAGTCGGCGCTGACGAAGGTGTTCGTCAACATGACGCCAACTTGGGGGCCGACGACTTGTGGACCTCGACGGCCTCCTCTTGTCGAACTTGTAACCTGGCCGAAGAAGTTCTGTAGGGGTGCATGAAGGTCGTCCAGGTGGTTTTGGCGAAGCCGACCTATGTAACAACGTTACGTGGGCACGAGGTCGGCGTGACACATCTGGCACAACTGTCAGCACGTGGTCGACTTGGCACTTGCGGATTTTTTGTCACGGTGCACAACATGCTCGACCGTCCACTAGCACCTGCGAAGTGGATGCGCACATGCGCTATGGTCGCACGCATTTGCAACGCTAGAAAGCCGCCTTGCTGCAGCGTTGGAAAGCCACTTTGTTGCAGTGCTGGCAGGTCGCCGACTTGCAGTGCTAGAAAGCCGCCATCGAACTGCGCTAGCAAGATGACGATTTGTTGTGCTGGGGGCTGACCTGCCTATCTGCAAGGTTGGTAGGCCCCCAGATGTAGTCATTGTTGTCTATCTTTTCTTGCATCATTGTTGTGAACTCTTGCTGGTACAACTCTTGCCAATTTTCGTTGTGAACGCGCAAGTAGAGAGAACACACAAATGCTACGATCACACCCGCAACCTGTGCCTACCCCGTAACCTAGCTCCCACCATTGTAGAGTGAATCTCTGTAGACCAACTGTACCGCTTTGCACACATCCGCCCATTCTCCCTTCACCATCCCCCCTCTCAATCCCTCCTCCACCGAACTCCCTCCCACTCCATCTCCCCTATTGCCCCAATCTCCCCAAGTTGCGCTTCACCAGGCTAAAGGACCAACTGCACCAATTTGCACACATCCTATCCACTAAGGTGAGAGCAAGGGACCACAGGGGCAGAGCAGCAGAGGGGGCATGGGAGAAGGGGAGCAAGGGAGCAGGGGGTAGCGGAGCAGGGGGGAGTGGGGAATGTGGGAGTGGGGGAGTGAGAGAGCAGGGGAAGAGGGGAGCTGGGGTGCATGCAAGGGACCTTGCAATGCAAGCGCGAAGCCCACTCCCCTCCCCTCGCCACTCCCCCCATGACATTGTCACTATGCAACTTCCTTATCCCCCCTCCCCTCGCCACTACCCCCAGGACATGGTCACAGTGCGCTTCCCCTTAGTAGGGGTGACAATGGTGGGGGTAACAATTGTGAGGGTGAGAATGCAACCAATGATGATAGCAGCAGGTGTGGCGCCAATACCAACCTTGCTGCTTCTGCTGCTGCTGCCACTACTACTGGTGTTGCTACTTCTACTACTGCTGCTGGCGCACTGATGGCGCGTGCTGCTGCAGTAGCAGGAGCAGGAGCAGTGGAAGCAACAGAGATGTGTCGCACTGGGTTTGCGCGCTTTCAGACGCCTCTATCTGCTCTAGCTTGCCGTGAGTCTCACGCATGAAGGCAGTCAACGCATGGGGCAGTGAGGCGTATGGGGCAGTGGGGCGTATGGGGCAGTGGGGCGCATGGTGGAGGGGGGCGCATGGGGGTAGTGGGCGCATGGGGCAGTGGGCGCATGGGGGAGGGGGCCGCATTGGGAAGGGGGGGCGCATAGGTATATGGGGCGCATGAAAGAGGGGAGCGTATGGGGCAGTGGGGCAGTAGGGCAGATGGGAGTGCTACCATATATTACGTTTCACAATTCCATAGGACCTGCTGCATATGCATTCTATATGGGGCTGCTGATGGCTTTGCCACAACTCCACCTCTCGTCTTATCCCATCCTGTTCCAACTCCCACCGTCCCACCATCTCTCCGTGGCACAGCTTCTCTTGCCTCCGACTCTGCGGACATGCTTTCAGCACACGAGCACTGGCTCAGGTGGGGTGTCATGTGTTATTAGCACTGGCAGAGGTGGGGTTTCATTGCCACATGTCACGAGCACTTGCACAGGTGGGGTTTCATTACCACGTTTATAAGCACCATGTGGGGTTTCTCTGCCATGCGTCCCTTCCTAGCTTTCTTTTTCAGCACAAAGAGCACACGTTTAAGTGATTCTATCGTGTGATATTTGGAGTTAAATTTTATGTACTTTTCCTGGTTATTGCTCATTATCTTCATGTTCTACACTTTTCTGGTGAAGGAGAGGTAATGCCCTGTCTGTGGGAAGGCGTATGATGGAAACCGATGTCGCTTACGTCAACCCGACACCTGACCAGGTACGTGATACATGTTGCTGCGACCATAACGTATATCGTAACCAGGATCACATCAGGAAGGTTCGCACAGAGTGTGTCGTAGTGGTGAGCCCTTGACCTCAGTTTAGAGTGAATATAAAATGTCAGAGATGAATAACACATGCAAATACATTCGTATAATGAGTACAAGGGGAATACCAAACGTCCTAGCTAGCCATATACCCTAAGGGGTACATTTCCTTATTCAAATTCAGACCCAACCGTGCGGCGCGTACAGTTGAAACTGTTCCCGCCTTTTTCCTAGCTCCTGCAGCTGCTCGATGTTGTCTGCTTCAACGATTCATATGCTTTCCAACTGTTCGCGTCCCTTCGACCTTTCGCCTTCGTACACTCTTCTGTGTTTGTTGTTCTTGCTACTACAGGTAAAATGCACAGTGCGGCTTCTCACTTTACTATTCGTAAAACATGTCAAGATCATAATCATTGTGGCTTTCTAATTTGGCATAATAAGCAATTAGAGTGGTTAAGGTTCCTTTTTAATAAATATATAGAGTACGTGTGTGTGTATATGTAAATTTACAGTCATACGCCTTACTTCTGGGACTAGTGGGCCTAGGTGGTCACCATGAATGGGGAACATGTTATTTGAATGTGTTGTTGGCTGTGATTTGCATGGAACAAAGCGAGTGTTACAGCATATCAAAGTATTGTGGCAAACCCAAAGAAGTGTGAACGTGAGAGCTGAACACGTCCCTAATGAAAGAAGGTAGCTGTTGCCGTCAAATGCGCTGGCTGGACAGAGAGGTGAACTCAACACAACCAAAACGACTAGCTGTTAGGCAGCAGCGCGATTCCCGCTAGGCAGCAGCGCGATTCCCGCTAGGCAGCAGCGCGATTCCCGCTACCTAGGCAGCAGCGCGATTCCCGCTAGGCAGCAGCCTGACTCCCGCTAGGCAGCAGCTCTTTCATCGCTAGTAGCAGCGCGATCCCGCCACGTAGCCCGCGACTCAGCCTCTTAGCCCGCAATTCAGCCGCCCAGGCCGCGATCTAGCCGCCTAGCCCGCGATTTAGCCGCCCAGCCCGCGATCTAGCCGCCCAGCCCGCGATCTAGCCGCCTTCGCCTCGATCTAGCCGCCTAGCCCGCATCTTAGCCGCTTAGCCAGCGATTTAGCCGCCCCGCCCGTGACCTAGCTGCAAAGCAGCGATCTTGCTGACCAACCGGTGATTTAGCCGCTTAGCCCGCGAACTGCAGGTAGCAGCGCGCAGCTAGGCAGTGGAACCCGCGCCGTAACAGCGAAATCCGCATCGCAGCAGCGAAAATCGCGTCGTAGCAGCAAAATCCACGCCGTAGCAGCGAAATTCGCGCCGTGGCAGCGAAATCCCCGTTGTAGCAGCGACATCCACACCTAGGCAGCAAAACCCGCGCTGTAGCAGCGACATCTGCGCCGTAGCAGCGAAATCCGCGCCGTAGCAGCAAAATCCGCGCCGTAGCAGCGAAGCCCGCGCCGTAGCGTTGAAGTGCGCGCTGTAGCAGCAAAGTGCGCGCCGTAGCAGCGAATTGCGCGCCGTAGCAGCGAATTGCGCGCCGTAGCAGCGCAATCCGGTGCCTCGGCAGCGAAACCCGCGCCGTAGCAGCGAAATCCGCGCCGTAGCAGCGAAGTGCGTGCCGTAGCAGCGAAGTGCGCGCCGTAGTAACGAAGTGCACGCCGTAGCAGCGAAGTGCGCGCCGTAGCAGCGAAGTGCACGCCGTAGCAGCGAAGTCCGGGCAAAGAGCAGCGAAGTCCGCCATGTAACAGTGAAACCCGCGCCGTAGCAACAAAATCTGCGTCGCGGCGGAGGGATCAGCGCCCAGGCAGCTATACTCGCGCGTAGGAGCGCCATCGCAGCGAAGCTCGTGCCTAGGCAGCGACTACCGCGTGTAGGGAGGGCCACAAAGCGAGACCCGCGCCTAGGTACCAACACCTGCAGGTAGGAGCGTCCATCGTATAGGGGAGTCTCCGTGCGCCAGCGACGCCCAACACCTTCGACTCACCCGGACTGCGAACCTTATATCGAGGGCGGGAGGCGCCCCTCCAGCGCTCCCCGCAAACAGCTTCCGCCATGAACAACGATCCAGACCCCCCAGACCGGGGGAGGAAGATCATCGCGAGGATTGGCCACAAGAGACCCAGGGAGGCAGCACCGAGTATGCAATACCCACAACTCTGTCGCCTCCACCACGAGGATGCACTCTGCCTTTTTGGCAAGCCCAGCAAGCGACAAAGGTATGGACCCCTCTCGACAGGGGGGGGGATAGAGGAGCCACCCAAAGACACTCTCGGCGGCTTCGTAGGCGGCAGCAACACCATCTCCAGCCGGGACCTGGACGTGACGGACGAGGGCGAGTGCGGTCATGGGGTGCATAGGCAAGGTACCGGTGATGACGCGGCGATGGCTGCATGGGAGGCACACCGCCGGCGACTGCAGGAGTCTCATGATAGGCGGCGGAGGGCCTTGGGAAATCCTTTGGCACGCCCAGCCCTCACAGCTCCGCGCGGGCCTCGCCTGGCCCAAAGGCAGGAACAAAGACGGAGAGCTCGGGCGGAAGTGCAGCAATGGAGTCCAGCGGGGACCCAGCCCTCGAGGCAGGAGGGGGGGCAGCAGAACTGGCTGTTGGGGGAGGCCCAGAAGCCACAAGCAAGGGAGCAGCAAGTGCGGCCGGCGGGACGGCAGCAGGAGCTGCCGGCGAGAGGGGAGCAGCACCTGCTGGCGAGAGGGGAGCAGGAGCTGCCGGCGAGAGGGGAGCAGGAGCTGCCGGCGAGAGGGCAGCAAGAGCCGCAGGCAAGAGGGCGGCAGGCGCGGTCGGCAGGCGAGCAGCAGGTACTGCCGAAGGGAGAGCAGCAGGAGCGGCCGGCGGGAGGGCAGCTGGAGCTGATGGCGGGGGGGGCAGCAGGAGCTGCAGGCAGGAGGGCAGCGGGAGGTGCCAGCGGGAGGGCAGCAGGAGGTGCCAGCGGGAGGGCAGCAGGAGGTGCCAGCGGGAGGGCAGCAGGAGGCGCCAGCAAGAGGGCAGCAAGAGGTGCCGGCGAGAGGGCAGCAGGAGGTGCCGGCGAGAGGGCAGCAGGAGGTGCCGGCGAGAGGGCAGCAGGAGCTGTCGGCTGGGGGGCAGCAAATGGTAGAAGCGGAGATGGCCGAGCTACAGCCAGAGGTGCAGCAGGACCACTCGGGGAACCGGGCCCGGCCACACGCAGGAGGGCAGCAGGAGCCGCCCGGGGGAGAGCAGCGTGAGCTGCCAAGGGAAGAGCAACAGGAGCTGCCGGCAAGGGAGCAGCAAGCAAGGGAGCAGCAAGCAAGGGATCAGCAAGCGGTAGAAGTGGAGATGGCCGAGCTACAGCCAGAGTCACAGCAGGACCAATTGGGAAACCAGGCCTGGCCACAGGCAGGAGGGCAGCAGGGGCCGCCCGGGGGAGAGCAGCTTGAGCTGCCAAGGGAAGAGCAGCAGAAGCCGCCGGGGGTGGGGCAGCTGCCGGCAAGGGAGCAGCAAGCGGTGGATGTGGAGATGGCCGAGCTACTGCCAGAGGTGCAGCAGGACCAATCAGGGAACCAGGTCCGGCTGCAGGCAGGAGGGCAGCAGGAGCTGCCGGGGGAGGAGCGGCAGGAGCTGCCAACAGGAGGGCAGCTGGGGCTGTCGGGGGGAGGGCAGCAGGAGCTGTCGGAGGGGGAGCGGCGGGAGCTGCCGGCGCGGGGGCAGCTGGAGGTCGCTAGTGCGGACTCTACAAGCCAAGCGAAGAGAACCCGGGCACGGGGCCGAGGCGGGAGACGACACACCCGTAAGACGCAAGGCCGAACTGGAAGCGGAGCTGCCGCCCAGCAGGCGGAGGGGCAGCCGGGGGCGACCGAGACACCCCCGGGAGCTCCGCGGGTGGGGGGGCAGCCCTGGGTGCCCGGGGCGCCCCAAGGAGAGCAGCAGCCAGGGGGGCAGCCGGGGGTGCCCGGGGCACCCCAGGGAGTGCAGCAGGCAGGGGGGCAGCCGTGGGTGCCCGGGGCACCCCAGGGAGTGCTGCAGGCAGGGGGGCAGCCGAGGGTGCCCGGAGCACCCCAGGGAGTGCAGCAGGCAGGGGGGCAGCCGGGGGTGCCCGGGGCACCCCAGGGAGTGCAGCAGGCAGGGGGGCAGCCGGGGGTGCCCGGGGCTCCCCAGGGAGTGCAGCAGGCAGGAGGGCAGCTGAGAGTGCCCGGGGCACCCCAGGGAGCGCAGCAGGCAGGAGGGCAGCCGAGGGTGCCCAGGGCACCCCAGGGAGTGCAGCAGGCAGGAGGGCAGCCGAGGTTGCCCGGGGCACCCCAGGGAGTGCAGCAGGCAGGAGGGCAGCAGGGGGTGCCCGGGGCACCCCATGGAGTGCAGCAGGCAGGAGGGCAGCCGAGGGTACCCGGAGCACCCCAGGGAGGGCAGCAGGCAGGGGGGCAGCCGAGGGTGCCCGGGGCACCCCAGGGAGTGCAGCAGGCAGGGGGGCAGCCGGGGGTGCCCGGGGCTCCCCAGAGAGTGCAGCAGGCAGGAGGGCAGCTGAGGGTGCCCGGGGCACCCCAGGGAGCGCAGCAGGCAGGAGGGCAGCCGAGGGTGCCCAGGGCACCCCAGGGAGTACAGCAGGCAGGAGGGCAGCCGAGGGTGCCCGGGGCACCCCAGGGAGTGCAGCAGGCAGGAGGGCAGCAGGGGGTGCCCGGGGCACCCCAGGGAGTGCAGCAGGCAGGAGGGCAGCCGAGGGTACCCGGAGCACCCCAGGGAGTGCAGCAGGCAGGAGGGCAGCCGAGGGTGCCCGGGGCACCCCAGGGAGTGCAGCAGGCAGGGGGGCAGCTGGGGGTGCCCGGGGCACCCCAGGGAGTGCAGCAGGCAGGAGGGCAGCCGAGGGTGCCCGGGGCACCCTAGGGAACGCAGCAGGCAGGAGGGCAGCCGGGGGTGCCCGGGGCACCCCAGGGAGTGCAGCAGGCAGGGGGGCAGCCGGGGGTGCCCGGGGCACCCCAGGGAGTGCAGCAGGCAGGGGGGCAGCCGGGGGTGCTCGGGGCACCCCAGGGAGTGCAGCAGGCAGGAGGGCAGCCGAGGGTGCCTGGGGCACCCCAGGGAGTGCAGCAGGCAGGAGGGCAGCCGAGGGTGCCCGGGGCACCCCAGGGTGTGCAGCAGGCAGGAGGGCAGCCGGGGGTGCCCAGGGCACCCCAGCGAGTGCAGCAGGCAGGGGGGCAACCGGGGGTGCCCGGGGCACCCCAGGGGGTGCAGCAGGCAGGGGGGCAGCCGGGGGTGCCCGGAGCACCCCAGGGAGTGCAGCAGGCAGGAGGGCAGCCGAGGGTGCCCGGGGCACCCCAGGGAGTGCAGCGGGCAGGTGGGGAGCCAGGGGTGCCCGGAGCACCCCAGGGAGTGCAGCAGGCAGGAGGGCAGCCGGGGGTGCCCGGGGCATCCCAGGGAGTGCAGCAGGCAGGAGGGCAGCCGAGGGTGCCCGGGGCACCCCAGGGAGTGCAGCAGGCAGGAGGGCAGCTGAGGGTGCCCGGGGCACCCCAGGGAGTGCAGCAGGTAGGAGGGCAACCGAGGATGCCTGGAGCACCCCAGGGAGAGCAGCAGGCTGGGGGGCAGCCGGGGGTGACCGGAGCACCCCAGGGGGAGCAGCAGCTAGGGGGGCAGCCGGGGGTGACCCGAGCACCCCAGGGCGAGCAGCAGGCAGGGGAGCAGCCGGGGGTGACCGGAGCACCCCAGGGAGTGCAGCTGGGAGGAGGGCAGCCGATGGTGCCTGGGGAACCCCAGGGAGTGCAGCAGGCAGGAGGGCAGCCGAGGGTGCCCAGAGCACCCCAGGGAGAGCAGCAGGCAGGGGGGCAGCCGGGGGTGACCGGGGCACCCCAGGGAGCGCAGCAGCCAGGGGGGCAGCCGAGGGTGCCCTGGGCACCCCAAGGAGCGCAGCAAGCAGGGGGGAGATCGATGGACGACCAGGAGCAACAGTTGGAGGAGTGGTGTCGACTTCTGGAGCTTGATACCCCCATGGCAACTACGGAGGAGTCAGAGGCGGACGAAGAACCTCCCATGCCGCCTTCCCCATGCCCCCGCTTCCCGTGCGACACGTGTTTCCACACTTTCGCTACGCGGGGGGCCGCTGCGAACCACCTGAGGGTATGCCGAGCGGCTGAGGCGGAGAGGCGTGCACAGGCTCTCGGCTCGATTCCGTCTCTGGTGGAGACCGACACGCAGGAGCGATCGACGCCGCGGGAATTTGGGGACGAGGCGTGGGCTGGGGTTATGTCATGGGAATGGGAAACATTTTTCAGTGTGGAGGCGGTTAGAGGGAGGACAGTTCGCCGGATCCCACAGCGGGCCAGGTCGGGGGTCTTAGACGCGCTCTGTTGCATCCTTAAGCGCTTGAAGAGTCAGCCGGGAGATGAAGCCGCTACCCTCCTACTCTTGGCGTTTCCGCGCCTCATCCTAGCCATGCCTCCCAAGCCAGGCATAGGTCAGAAGGCGCTGATCACAGAGCGGTTGGGTGCTTTCTGGGAGGGGAGGTGGCGGGAGCTGTTCGACTTTGCCATGGCGGCAGCGCGGCCAGCAGTTCGCCCACTTTCCTACACTCGCTCTGACCATGACCCGGATGCCATTCGCCTGTCACGGTGCCGATCTCGGTGCAAAGTGGGGGAGTGGAGCCGAGGATTGGCCTGCCTTACAGCAGGGGAGTTGGCTCGACCGTCTGAGGTCATGGTGCAGTCGCTGCGAGAGAAGCACCCGGCTAGCGCAGGCGAGGTACCACAGTGGGTCCGCAATTTCACCATCGATACCGCTCAGCGGCCTTCACTCACGACCGACATCCTGGCCAGAGCTATCCATACAGCCGCTCGAGCCTCAGCAGCAGGGCCATCAGGGTGGGTCACAGAGCATCTGCGCGACACCTTCCTCACTGAACCTACCTGCCTCTCCCACCTGTTGGAAGTGTTCAACCAATGGGTGGCGGGACAGGTCCCCGAGCGGGCTCGGCCGTGGCTCGCCGCATCCAACCTAGTCGGGCTTTCCAAGCCTAACGGCGACGTCCGGCCGGTGGCTATCGGGGAGGTGCTTCCTCGTATCCTTGCTCGAGCTCTCTGCATCTCGCTCCGCCCTGCGATGGTTTCCTACTTCCTGCAGTGCAACCAGCTGGGAGCGGGCACCAAGGTCGGGGCGGAAATTCTCACTCATTCTTTCCGGTCAGCGCTGGCCACTCACCCCGACTGGTGTGCGCTACAGATAGACGTCGCAAACGCCTTCAATTCGTTTCACCGTCATGTGATGTTCGATGGGCTGCGGGAGTCGCCTTTCTCAGGGATGATCCCATTCTTGCGTGTCTTTTATGGGACACCTAGCGACCTGTACCTCCGAGCGGGCCCTTTCGTACAGAGCCTCGAGTCAGCACGGGGATCGAGGCAAGGGGACCCGCTCGGCCCTTTTCTTTTCGCGTTCACGCAGCAGCAGGTGATGGAGCCGGTTACTAGGGAGTTCAAGGACCTACTTTTCCTCAGCTATGCAGACGATACCTATATTTTGGGGCCAGCGGCTAGGATTCTGGAGGCTTTTGGGGTGCTGCGGGAGCGGTTGGAGTGGGTAGGGCTGGAGGTGCAGGCGCACAAGTGCCGGTTTTGGGAGCGCGAGGGCAAGGAGGTGGAGCGGGCACTGCCATTGGGGATGCAGCAGGTGGATGAGGGTCTTATTTTGGTGGGCGTGCCTATTGGAGAGGAGGTTTGGGAGGTGGTCCGGCTACGGGAGCGGCTTCGATAGTTGCAGGCGCCACTGCCATGGCTCCCCTTGCTCGACCACCCCCAGATGGCTTCACACCTCCTCGCCATTGCAGTTTCAGCGCGGCCGATGTACCTCGCCCGGACTATGCCGCCGCGTCCGGAGGTGGTTGAGGCTTTTAGGGATTGGGACAGCTGTTTAGAGGATTGCTTTGAGCAGCTTTTCCCACCTGGCACTTGGGAGCAGGACCCCGACCGGTCTAGGCGCGCACGCATGCAGCTGCATCTCCCTGTGCGTCTCGGTGGGTTCGGGATCCGGGCGGCGGCCTCTTTGAGCCCACTGTCCTATGTTTGCGGGTGGGCGCAGGCCGCGCGGGACATTGCACAGTTAGGGGTGGCGGGTGAGGAGGCGATGTTTGCTGAGTACCTCACCACTTCGATAGGGGCAGAGTTTCTTGACCCGTGGTTTGTCAAGGCTCTCGAGCAGCTGCCAGCGACTATCCGCCACGAGATACCGGGCTTACCTCTGTGTGTAGCGGCCCCTCCTGTTCGGCTTTTCCAGGCGCGTCAACGGCAGTTAGCTGTAGAGGAGCTCCACCCACTGCGCCGCTTGGCTCGTGACGAAGCTACCTTGGCCCGTTTCACATCCCTTCAGGGCCCGGGGGCAGGTGCATGGGTTTCGGCGGTTCCGGCTCACTCAGATCTCACATTCACTGCGGCTGAGTGGGGCATTGCTGCTGCTATACGGCTCGGCCTCCCAACTCAGCAGCTGCAGGTGGCGGGGAGGTGTGTTTGTGGCACAGCGTATGTTGACCCAGCAGACCCGCACCATGCCCTGAGATGCAGGCACCAGCATGGTCCTTCTCGGGTGCATGATGAGGTGAAGTTTGCGGTGGCGAAGATCTCTAAGGCGTCGGGGGGGGTGGTGACATTGGAGGATAGTGTGGTGCTGCAAGGGAAGCGGGTTGATGTGGCGGTGCGACGTCCAATGGCTGGAGAGGCTCACGCCCTAGAGATCAGCGTCGCGGACCCGCTATCGCTGTCTCCATCACTGCTGGGACAGTCCGGGCGTCAAATAGGTGTGGCGGCAAGGGAATGGGAGCGTCGCAAAACGAGTGATTACGCGCCTCTGCTTGCACGCAACCGGGGCGTGCAGTTCACCCCTTTGATAGTTGAGACGTGGGGGTGTCTCGGCGGCCGTTTTCAGCGGTGGCTTCGTCAGCAGGGGGATGCGCACGTGGGGCTAGCTGTGTCGCGGGGGGCTTGTCGAGAGGACGACTCTGTGTTTTCGGCTTATCTTTTAGGGTCACTGAAGGCGCTCATCGGGGTGGCGTCACAACGTGCGCAAGCCCGTGTCATCCTGCTTCGAGCGGCGTCTTCCATGGGGGGGATTAACGTAGATTTGGCGGATCGGGAGAGGGACGATGTCGATGTGGAAGGCGGGGCTCTCTGGGTGGAGGCCCCGTACATGGTCGATACGTTGATGTGATTGAGGGGGGGGGGGGGGGGGATGGGATGTCTTGATGGGGTGTCTTGACTGGGCGTTTTGATTGGGTAACTTGAGGGGGGGGTTTATGTGTGTTGCATTTGGGTTCTTTTTGGGAGTTTCATTTTCCTTCTCCCTTTCTTTCTCCATTCCCTTTCTTTTTCAGACACACTATGGCGAGACACATGGTGTGAATGATTTTTTGAGACAGCAGGCGGGGGTATGTAACCAGCAACCATATTAAGGATGAAGACGAGTAATGTACATGAATGGGGAACATGTTATTTGAATCTGTTGTTGGCTGTGATTTGCATGGAACAAAGCGAGTGTTACAGCATATCAAAGTATTGTGGCAAATCGGATCAAGTAACCACATATCGTAAGAACCGTTGAGGAATCCAATCGAATTTCAGATTGCCAGCAATCAACGGTACCAAAAGTAAAAAATCCCCAAGCGGGGTCGCTTCCAGTGCTTCAAAAGCAGGTTTCAAGAGGATTCGTTGTTCTGCATCTCTGTTTTTGCAAAATCCTCGAGCTGAATCAGTACACCCTGTTTCTCGACCCTCTCACCTTGCGCGATTCGCTGCTACAGTGCGGTCAGGTGCCATAAACCGTATGGCTGAAACCTGCGGGCAAAGCCGCACCAGCTGACGGAGTGGTACTGGGGGCAAAATTTTTCTTTATCGCTGTATACCCTTTTCAACCGCTTTGAAACGCTTGGTTAATGTTCTTTACCATGCAGCATCCTAGCTAACCGCTTTCTTGTGATTGTGCTTGTACCGTCGGTGATAAGACCATTTCAAACGTGGTGACGTTCTACAACCTGTGCATGTTCTGCAACCAGATGCTCTGCTAGCGCGAAACAGGGTGTATTTGCACACTAGCATTGGACAACCAATCGTGTATTTTCGCAACGGGACCAATTTAATCATCGAATCAATGGCAGCCGTCTTCTTCTCGCGCCTGGTTCACTTGAGGGTGGTGGCGAGACTTCCTTCCCAACTTAGTACACCTAGTCCGCGGTATTTTAACCAGGTGAACTTTGTTCTTTCAAACCCTCTTTGTTCGTTTCTGGGCAGTGTTTTTAGCACCCAGAGTCATCGAGGCTACGATTCTGTAGCCGAAAGCACTTCCGTCTAAGGAACTCACACTTAGTGCTCCAAGATAGACGGATTGACATTTGTCACACTCGGCATTCACTGAGTTTTTTCTGCTGTCATCTCGCGAAGGGAATGCTAGATTCTACCCTCGTAAAGTTTGAAACAACCCGACTAAATAAGTTTGATAAAGGAGAAGTACCCTCGCGTGGTTAAGATAGCGCCGGTTAAAATACCGCGGACTAGGTGTAAGATCAATATCGACGTTGGGAGTTCATCCTTGTGAGCTTGCTTCAATCGCCGTGGCCCTCTCGCAATCATGTTTACCTTCTCTTATGAATGTCATATCTTGATTGCTCAGGTACAGTACTTCCCTAATTTTGACTCGTCCGCCCAGGACTCACCCGTTCACCTAGGTATTTTTCTGGCATGCCTCTTTCCAGGAGCTTTCCATCTGGCGAAGTGACGGCGGTAGAATTCTCGTTTAGGACTATCCAGTTGGCGAGTGACGTGAGCTCGTTTGCGACATCAGCTGGGAGTGGGCGCGGGTGTCGGACGGGACGAATTGCCCCAACGTTGTCATTTTCTTACAGTTTTTGTTTCGGCGGCGAGTTGAACAAGTAATGCCGATTTCGTCCGAAGTCCCATGTGGGTACAGGTCAGAGGTGACTTCGCAAACCTAGGAGGATGTTGGCCCTTCTGGCTGTTCGCTCCTGCGAAGGACAGTCTGCACTGTTACTGCCACTGGCCTTGGTATCTCTGTCAGATACGCTTGTCTCACTTATTGCGTCTCCCGCGCACGCGCAGCGCAGTAGTGTGGATATGGCTACTGCTCAGGAAATGCGCGCATGATGGGTACAGGTGAGGCGGGATCTCGACAACATCTCGTTAGTGAAGTGAACACGTACGTGTACAACGCGATCTTCTTTCCATCTCTGTCTCTCGTACCGAACCCGACAATAATCCCTCCATCTGGCACTACACAGTGGTAGTACGGTACGGCTGTTACAGTTCATGGTGCATTCACGACATCGCGCTTTCGGTGACGTGGCGGGCTAACATTAGATTAGGTCGACCTAAACCACACCCGCGCTGTCACATCTGAATGTGACACCGCACCTTCAGACGCGATGCAGTTTTCTGACGCGTCAGCAAAACCTTATCTGATTCAAGTGTCGCTATAGTTTGTTCGGTTATAACACCACTAAACCTCCGTCGATGCAAGTTCAAATGCCAGATTCATGCAAGCTCGGCACCACTGTACACCCAACACAACCGAAGTATATTCGATGTACTAGCACAAGTTGGCACGTGTGGGACGGTTTGGAAGCGAACTACTAGCGGCTGTAGAGACAATGGGGAAGGGGAGACATTGTTCACCTATCCTACAGCAAAGGTTCAGCACTGCTTACCCTCCTAAACACTGTTTCACGTAACCCTAGTCATTGCTCGTGCAAAGGTTAGTGTGCAAAGATGGGGAAAACCGAGATTTGGGCATGGTATGTGGCGTTGTGAATTTTGTAGAGTAGTACAGGAGCAGTCCTTCCTATCTATCAGCCTCGCAGCGGATTCATTATTAGTATTATCTGGACCGTGTCGTCACGACAAATTGTGCTTTGGTGAACTGTGTCGCGATTTTAGTACTAGTGACTGAGCTGATGCGTGATTGTTTGAGACAGATTTTTCACCCCAGCGACGTCGGTTCCAGATTCTCCAAGTACGACTCCGGAAAGTGCTCTGTCGCGGCGACACGCTTTTTCCGTTCCTGCGGCTACGACAACGACAGTTCGTCCGAAGCTTTTGCCATTCATTCTCCTCATGGACTCAGTCAACGCGGCGCTTCGGTTTCAAACGGGAGAACCAGGATTCCCCAACGCGCCTCAAACGGGGAAACCAGCATCATGCTTCGACATGCTTCAAAAGGGGGAGCTGCAAGGCAGCAGCGCGCTGGCAGCGGATTGGAGCAGCATCAGCCGGAACGAGCTGAGCCTCATCCAAGCAGCTCTGCAGCGCGCCGAGCACCCTGGATTGCCACTGGGTGACTCTTCTTTGATCGCCGCGCAGCAATTTCCGAGTGACTTGGAGCCTGCGTTAACCGCGGCGCACCCCGGACTGCCACTGGGTGGCTCCGCTTTGACCGCCATGGCGCAGCGGCAAGGGCTGGGTGACACCGAGCCGGCTTTAATCGCGGGGCAGGCAGCGCGGCAACAGAGAGTGAAGGAGAGAGAGAGTTCGGCTGCAGAGACAGCACCCTCTGCAGCGCTTTTTGAGGCGCCTCAAAAACCCTCTGCAGCGCTCCTGCAGGATGGGTATGGTGCTCTGGGGCAGCTATCTCCAACCACCCCCCTGCTGGTTCAAATCTCGAATGAGACCTGCGGCAGTTCCCTTTCGCCCCTTCCTTCGCCACTCAACACCTCCCTTCCTCCCCCTGCTTGTCGCACCTTCACCCTGCCGTCGCTTCCCCCGGTCCTGCACCCATCAACAGCGCTGAGGGCTCGCTGCAGTCCCGGCTTTGTGCCATCCGGCTTTGTGCCATCTTTTGGCACGAAGCGAAGGCTGTTAGCCGCCCAGATTCATGATCTTGCGGATATGGAGGCTCTTCAGGTGAGGAAGAGGTTACGTGGTAACCCTACTGCCGCTGACTCTGGCCTCCCTCTTGCTGCAACTGCTGCTGCTGCTCCTCCTCCTGCTCCTCCTCCCCCTCCTGCTGCTGCTGCTACTGCTGCTATTGCTGCAACTGCTGCTGTATTCTCTAGCAGCAGTATAACCAGGCACGAAGCGCCATGGAGTGCAGAATCAGCAGCAGCAGCAGCAGCAGCAGTGCCTGCTGCTGTTATGGCCGGCCCAACCTCTGCAACCTTCGTGGCAAGAAGCACACATGCTGCAGTGCCCTCCTCCTGGACTGCTGCTGCTGCTGCTGCCACTCCTGCTGCAACTTCTGCTGCTGCCACTCCTGCTGCAACTGCTGCTGCTGCTGCAACCGCTTTCCCAAGAGACGCTGGCATGTGCCGCACACGTCTCAGCATGAGCCCCACACACTCTGGCCTGGACGCCACCCACCCTGACACGTTGCCCACACGTGCTGGTGTGAGCCCAACACGTGCTGGTGTGAGCCCAACACGTGCTGGTGTGAGCCCAACGTGTGCTGGTGTGAGCCCAACGTGTGCTGGTGTGAGCCCAACACGTGCTGGCGTGTGCCTGCCACAGCACCCATTGGACCAGCTTGCTGCAGCTCTCGTGAAGCCGCCGCATCCCTTCAAGAGGGAGAGTGGGGTGGGACTTGATGGGTGCGTGGACAGTTTTCCTCGTGCCGCTGCTGCTATTGATGATGATGCTGCTGCTGGTGCTGGTGGTGCACCTGTTGGTGGTGATGCTGTTGCTGCCGCTGCCTCTGCTCCAGCTGCTCCTGCAATGCCAACCTCGTCCCTTGCACACCAGCAGAGGCAAGCAGCTATTAGCAGTCTCTTCAGGCGACTCCAAGCGCAATCACCTGGCAGCACCGCTCTGCACCGCTCCGTGTCTTCAGAGCTGCGTTTTGAACCGTCTCAAGGGCTGTCGCAACCGCAGCAGCACCCCCGCAGCAGCACCTCCCTAATGCAACCATCAGTGCAACCAGCAGCAGTGCAACCAGGGTCCTTCCAGGCACACGCGCACAAGCCTTTTCCCCCCAAGTCCTCTGGCCTCCTGCCGTGCACCCAGCAACCGTTCTCTCCAGATTCTCCACAAATTCAGGCAGCAGCAGCAGCGTTTCGGTCGCCCTCAGCAGCACCCCGGGAATCAACGCCAGGAGGAAACACGGGCTTTAAGTCGCCCTCTGCAACCCCGTCTCCGTTGTCCCAGTCGCCAAGGGCAGGGGTGGGACGCGCAAGGGCTGTTGCAGCGGCAGTGGGAGGAGCAGGGGCGAGGCAGATCACAGGGAAGAGTGCCACAGAGAAGCAGCGGCGGTCCAGAATAACGTGAGTTGGGTGAGAGTTCGGTGCAATGTGTGTGTTGACTCCTGCTGACTTGAGGGCACGGTTATGTTCACGCTTCTTGACTCTTGCTGACTTGAAGCCTCGTGTTGACTCTTGATGACTCTAGTTGAATATGGTTGACTCTGGTTGACCAGGTCATGACAGATGGCACATGCGTATAAACACATTGCTCACACTGTTGTGCCCCGTCCCTTCCTCCGCCCATGTCTGTCTCACAGTGAGCGGTTAGGTGCCCTCAAGGCAGTGATTCCACTTTCAAGTCAACTTCAATAACCAACCTAATGTGTGCCTTGCCCCCTCTCCTTCCCTCCCGTTCCTCTTCCCATGTGTGGCTCACAGAGAGCGGTTAGAAGCCCTCAAGGCAGCAATACCAGCGGAGGTGCTGCTGAGGCAGCAGGGCCGGACGGGGTTCAGCAATCGCACTCAGATCGCCACCCTTCTGGATGCTGCCGTGGGTTTTATTGAGGGAATGCGCGAATACAAGCTGGAGCTGGAGAGGCAGCTGTTGGCCTCATAACGGCTTTCGAGGCGCCTCAAAAGTCACACGCAGATCGCCACTCTTTTCTGCATGCTGCCGTGGGGTTCTTTGAAGGAATGCGCGCATACAAGCTGGCGCTGGAGAGGCAGCTGCTGGCCTTTTATTCCCACGGACCAAGTCTCGCCTCAAGAGGCGGGACAACTTAAGCAGGCACCACCAGCTGACCGTGCAGTTGCACGCACATAGGCACTCTTTTCTGGATGCTGCTGTGGGGTTCATTGAGGGAATGTGCGTGTACAAGCTGGCTCTTCAGAGGCAGGTGCTGGCCACGTGACAGTACTTTGGAGAGAACTACCTACCTCATAAGCTCAACGCTTATGCACAAGCGTCTGACTGCTCTGCAGCAGGCTTCAGTTGAGAAGCCAGTCGCGTGCAGATAGCCACTGTTCTGGATGCTGCTGTGGGGTTAACTGAGGGCATGCTGGAGTGCAAGCTGGGGCTGGAGAGGCAGCTTCTAGCCTCGTAACAGGGTGTCTGGTCGGATCGGGTTCTCAAGGACCAAGTCTGAAAGGGGCAGGATGACTGAAGCCCACTTGAGTTGCAGCGCCAGTCGCACCCAGATGGCCACTCTTCTGGATGCTGCCGTGGGGTTCATTGAGGGAATGCGCGAGTACAAGCTGGAGCTGGAGAGGCAGCTGCGGGCCTCGTAATGGCGCGTCTGTTTCGAGCACATTACCTTGAATTCTCAAGGACCAAGTTCGGAACAGGCTTTAGTTGTGCAGCCATTCGCATGCACGTGGCCACTCCCCTGGATGCTTCAGTGGGGTTCATTGAGAGAATGCATTCGTCTTGGCTCTTCGCATACCTCCAATACCGGTACAGTCGCTGAGTTCATCTTGGCACATATTTCCAAGAACTACAGTTTATAATGCTCGCGCTGAGCCTCAGCCCATCACATCCCAAGCCTTGAGCTTCAAGGTTCTTAAAGCGAGGGTCCACAATTGTAGTGGAGGGGAAAGAAGTTTGGAACATGAATGCATGGGCATTTGCAACACCTGCTGTTGCGCAGTTAGAAATCCCAAGCAGCCTACCTGCTGACAGACAAATGTACAACCTTGGTTGAAGGTTCGAGATTCTACGCGCAAGCTGAATACTTGTGCACAAGCAGGGTTTGGCTTCACAAACAGGCAGCCATTCTGCTGGAAGATGTTATTGACTACATGCATAAGCTACTGGTAGAGGCTTCCATGTTTGTAGATAAGCTTCCTTATGTTTACGCATGTGTCATAATATTTGCAGTTTGCTTCCAGATTATATGACTGGATGGAATCACACGTTGCTGATGCTACATACATTGCATTTGGATTGGTCAAATGTTTTGTTCACCAACATTGTGTACCTTAAGCCCCCGGATATAAGCGGAGGCCTCAGATTGTTAAAACATATTTGCATGTTCCTAGTTCTGCTAGGCTACAGTGAGGTGCTCAGTATAGAGTACAACCCTAGTTAGGGTTTACTATGTGTATCTCACTCTTGCTAGTCATTCACCATTCCTGCACAGATTAACCTGACATGGTTTCAGAGTAGGAAACCTGTTAAGCTTTAAGGGCCGACCGATAGTTCCGCCCGTTCCTGCCCGAAGCGCCCTTGCGCTGAAGTGCCCTGCTCGCACAGTGTCGCGCTGCCCTGCTACCACGCACGCTGCCTGCCCTAGTGCGCTCCCCTGCTACTGCCCGCGCGTCGCGCCCTGCAGCCAGCACGTCGCGCCCTGCTGCAGCCTGCACGTTGCGCCCTGCTGCCCTGCCCAGCGAGTGCCGCCCTGCCGCAGCCCGCGCCCAGCTGCCCTGCAGCCCGTGCATCGCGCTGCCCTGCCCTTAGGCCTGCGCGCCGCCCTGCCCTACAGCCCACGCACTGCGCTGCCCTACTCTTATGCCCGCGCGCTCTGCCCTGCAGCCCACGAGCCGCGATGCCCTGCCTTTAGGCCAGCGCGCCGCCCTGCCCTGCAGCCCGCGCACCCTACTGGCCTCCACAACCACAGTGACCACCGCCACTTCTACAGCTGCAGCTACAGCAGTTGCTACTCACGCCCTTGCGCCGCTGCTACTAACTGCGACTGCCTGTCATGGCCACTCTCACGGTCGTAGCAGCGTCTAGGGGTGGACAGCAGCAGCCACTGCCTCACCCGGACACTCTATCACCACAGCAGATTTGTGAGTGGGTTGTTTAGCGAGTCCGTGCTGGTGGTGGAGGTTTTGGTTTTACATATCCTGGACAGCAGCGGCAGCGGCGTCAGCAGGAGACCTTCTCCCCGCATCGGCTTCGTGACTGTGTTTCTTAGCGAGGCGTCCCTGGGTATAAAGAGGTTGCTGCTCTATGTGCTAGTGAGTCTGCTGCCGCTCCAGGTGCCAGTGAGTCTGTAGCAGCTCTAGGTGCAAGTGAGTCTGCTTCCACTCTAGGTGCTAGTGAGTCTGCTGCAGCGCTAGGTGCTAGTGCGTCTACCGCCACTGGTCGTGCCTTAGCTGAGGCCTTGCACACTTTCACACTTGACTCAGGAGCGTCACGTTGCTTCTTTCGTGATTGCACCACAGTTACACCGCTCGCAGCACCTGTCCCAGTCTCACTGGCTGACCCCACTTGGGGCCCAGTAGTAGCGCGAGCCTCCAGTGTCCTCCCGTGTCCGGCAATCCCCTCTTGCTCTTTTTCAGGCCTCCACCTCCCCTCGTTCTCGACGAACTTGGTGAGCAACGCATTCCTTCAGGATGTTTGGCTTAATACCTTTATCCTTAAAAAACAGCGTGTGGCGATATGTACGTGCTCCCGAACTGGACGTCACCTTGCTACATTCACTCGGCATCCTGGGTCCAGTCAGTACACCCTGACCACTGCGTCTGCACAAGTGGTTGCATCACATCAGGTGGCTGCGTCGAGTCAGGTGTCTACGTCTGGTCAGGTTGCACCGTCTTGCTCGTATCAGGTACTTTCCCACCAGACTCTCCTCTGGCACCACCGACTCGGTCACCCCTCTCTGCCGCGTCTGCGTAGCATGCACTCCCGTCTCCTTGTCTCTGGCCTTCCCAGGTCTCTGCCCCCCCTCCCACGCTCGCCTGCCCCGCCGTGCCTTCCCTGCGTTGAGGGGCGGCAGCGCGCCGCTCCTCACTCCTCCGAGTTTCCTCCGACCACTACTCCTCTGCAGACTCTCCACATGGACAAGTGGGGCCCAGCCTGTGTCAGTGGGACGAACCAGGAGCGCTACTTCCTGCTGGTCGTTGACGACTATTCGCGCTACACCACATTCTTCCCCTTGTGCCAGCAAGGCGGACGTCACTGGTGTTTTGATCCCCTTGATCCGAGCTGATCGTCTCTTGCTGCGCGAGTGGTTTCGGCGGGACCTTCAAGTCCTGCGTCTGCATTCTGACAGGGGTGGTGAGTTCTCTTTTGGCCTCCTTGCAGAGTTTTGTCGAGACGAGGGCATCTGCCAGACGTTCACGCTTCCGCCCTCTCCACAGCAAAATGGGATTGCAGAGCACCGCATTGGCTTGGTGATGGAGGTTGCTCGCACCTCCATCATCCATGCAGCTGCTCCCCATTTTCTGTGGCCGTTTGCGATCTGATACGCCACGCACCAGCTCAACCTCTGGCCTCGTGTCTCTTTGCTAGAGACCTCGCCCACACTCCGTTGGACGGGAGAGGTTGGTGATGCGTCGGCGTTTTGGGTCTGGGACACGCTCTCCTTTGTTTGCGATACCACCGCGAGCAAATTCTCTCCTCGCACTCTCCGTTGCACCTTCCTTGGCTTCCCCACCGACGCCCCGCCGTGGCAGTTTTATTACCCTCTCTCGCGTCGCGTGTTCTCTTCCCAGGACGTCACCTTTGACGAGTCAGTCTGTTTCTACAGGCTCCACTCGCACGCGTCCCACCCGGTCCCCCTGGCGCCTCTCTTCCTGGTACCAGTTCCCCCCCCGGTAGACCCCCTCCCTGGAGGTGCTTGTACTAGAGGTACTGAATCTGCCGGAGCTGGTGGTGCTGCTGGTGCTGGAGGTGCTGCTGGAGGTGCTGGGGGTACTGGAGCTGCTGGCACTGGAGGTGTTGGTACTACTGGTGCTGGAGCTGCTGGAGCTGCTGGTCCTGGTGGTGCTCGTACTAGAGTTGCTGGAGCTATCGGAGCCGGTGGTGCTGGTGGTGTTGGAGGTGCTACTGGAGGTGCTGGCACTGGTGCTACTAGTGCTGGAGGCGTTGGAGCTGGAGAAACTGGGGGTACTGGAGCTGCTGGCACTGGAGGTGTTGGTGCTCTTGGTGCTGGAGCTGCTGGTCCTGGAGGTGCTCATACTAGAGGTACTAGAGTTGTCGGGGCTGATGGTGCTGCTGGTGGTGGAGGTGCTTCCGGAGCTGCTGGCACTTGAGGTGTTGGTGCTGTTGATGCTGGAGGTGCTGCTGGTACTGGAGGCGCTGGAGCTGGAGGTACTGGAGGTACCGGAGCTGCTGATGGTACGGGTACTGTGCCACGCCGACCGTTTTTCTAACTGCAGCCGCAGTCATCCCTTCCACTGCCTGACTCAGCCCTTCGCGAGGTTCTTAGTCTCCCGTCTTCCATTGGCCTCACTCCACCTCTCCTGCGTCCACCGACACACCAGTCTCAGCCACAGCTACTGCCTGGCTCTCCGCTGCCTGCTCCTATTCCTCACACTGAGGTGACTGAGTCCCTGACTGAGCGTCGTGAGCCTGAGACTCGTGCTTCCATACCTGTTCGTGCTCATCGTGTCGCCTGTCCTCGTCCTCATGCTATCCCAAGCACACACAATATGGCACTTCATCCTTCCTCTGTTCCACAGTGTGTTGTCCTGCCTGAGCCTCCAGCGTCCTGTCTTTCGCACGTTCCTCAACCTGAGTCTAACCTTGCTCGTGCTGCCAGTCCTACTGTCAATCGTCTCCTCGCTACTGTAGTCAATGACCCTGACTTTGAGTCTACTGCTGCGTTTTCCCTAGTCACTGCGCTAGTCAAATTTGCATCTAGGAGTCGTCTGGAATAGGTCGCGAGTCTTGTTACTGAGTCTGGGTTTGTCTGTCCTGCGTCCGTCAGGGGTGAGCCTGCCCTTGGCAGTGACGTCCTTGAGGACAGACAGTTTGAGCTTGAGGGTCTTGCGGCCGTTTTACCTCGTTACGCATCCAGGCGACTTTTCCCTGAGGGAGATCCGGATGCACTGGACATCCCGACCCCGTACTCTTACGTTGAGGCGATCGCGGGTGAGTACTCCTCTCTGTGGCAGATAGCCATGGATGCAGAGATGGCTTCCTAGAACTCTACATGCACCTATGTCAATGGGGTTCCTCCTCCTGGGGCGATGACATGTGGATTTTCAGAGTGAATCGGCCGCCGGGTTCTCCGCCTGCCTTCAAGGTGCGTTAAGTTGCTCGAGGCTTCAGTCATCGACAGGGGGTCGACTACTTCTATACCTTATCCTCCACCCCGAAGATGACTACTCTTTGGGTGTTGCTGCACGTTGCAGCACAGCGTGACTATGAGCTGCACTCCCTCGACTTCTCCACAGCTTTCTTGCAGGGCAACCTTCACGAGGAGATCTGGCTGCGCCGCCCACCTGGCTTCATTGGGTCGTTTCCTGCTGGTACCCAGTGGAGCCTGTGGCAGCCAGTCTACGGTCTCCGCCAGGCGCCCCGCAAGTGGCACGATACACTGAGGACTGCACTTGCGGCTCTTGGGTTTGCTCCGTCGACTGCTGACCCGTCGCTGTTTTTATGCACCGACACTACCCTGCCGCCATTCTACGTTCTCGTGTACGTCGACGACTTGGTTTTTGCTACTGCTGACACTGAGGCGCTAGCCCTAGTGAAGGTGGAGTTGCAGGAGAGACACACCTGTTCTTACCGGGGTGAGCTGCGTAGCTATCTTGGCTTGCAGATCACCCGGGACAGAGCACGGCGCACCATCACCCTGACTCAGTCACACATGGTGCACCAGGTCCTTCAGCTCTTCGGCTTCCAGTAATCCTCGCCATAACCTACTCCTCTGCCTACTGGCCACTCGCTCTCAGCTCCACCTTCGGACGAGTCCGTAGAGCCAAGTGGTCCATATCCAAAGCTTGTGGGTTGCCTCATGTACCTGATGACGTGCACACGACCTGCCCTCGCGTACCCTCTTAGTCTCCTGGCTCGCTACGTGGCTCCCGATAGACAACGAAAGGTGCACTAGGATGCTGCGAAGAAGGTACTGCGTTACTTGTGCAGTACATTGGACATGGGGCTCGTGCTTGGAGGACAGGGTTCAGTGGTACTTACAGGACACTCCGACGCTTCTTGGGCCGACGACTAGGTGACTCAGCGTTCGTTACAGGGTTAAACCTTCAGTCTTGGCTCTGGTTCTGTTTCATGGAGGTCCATTTGTTCTTCTTTTGTGCTTGGTTTCAGTTGTGTTCTATGGCCGCATAGAAGTTACATTGGCTAACCTACTTGCTGACCGACTTAGGGGACGACCTCGTTGCTCAAGAGCTGTACCAGCGTGGTCAGCTTCGCGTGGCCTCTCAGCCCAACATTGCTGATGTCTTCACCAAGGCCCTCGGGTCTGGTGATCTTCAGCGTTTTTGTACTGCTCTTGGGCTTCTGCCCGTTCTGCCTCACCTGCTTGTCTCTTGATCTTGCACTTGTCATACACTAATTTCTATATTTATACCTGCATGTTTCTTCTTGCTAAGTTGTGATCAGTGTACTGCCTTGCTATTATCACTCTACATATGAACTGGCCTTGTGGCCGCTTGCTTGTGCTCAGCATGAGTGGTGATCCTGAGATCCACCCTGGGCTTTGCATTGCATTGTTCTCTTGCCTGATTGGTCTTGTGATCGTTTGTTGTGTTGGCTATCCCTCATTTTGCCTAGGGGGGTGTGTCAAAACTTATTTGTATGTTCCTAGTTTTGCTAGGCTACAGTGAGGTGCTCAGTATAGAGTACAACCCCTGTTAGGGTTTACTACTTGTATCTCACTCTTGCTAGTCATTCGTAATTCCTGCACAGATTATTCTGACATGGATAAGCGCCGGACGCTTATAGAACGCGCATGGCACTTATATCCGATCCTTGATTACCGTATAAGCGCAACCCCAACGCCTTATAGATTATAAGCGCCCCCTCTATATATATTTTATCTTTAATGAAACACCTGTAACGAAACACAAAATTTGCATCCCAAAATTTAGGATTTCAATGCCCTTCACCCTTGTGCGACTCACTTCGTGCGTGTCTTGTCAGAATGATTTTTCATGGGGAAAAAATGACTCATTATGACTAGCTGTATTGGCAAGAAATCTTTCCCTGCCAACTTAGGCAAGATTCTCATGTGTAAATGAGTAAGCAGGAATGAGATGAACTATGAATGAAAGCAGTACAAATATGAAACCCTAACTGGGTTGTACCCCCTATGGGATACCCCACTACAGCCTACACAGCAGTATAAGCTATAGATATGTTCTGACACACCCCCATAGGCAAAGTGGGGAGAACAAGGGGTCACAAGACCAGTCAAGTAAGACAAAGCAAAGCTCAGGGTGGATCACAAAGTCACCACACAGTCCGAGCACAAGAGCAAGGCCAAAGGCCAGTTCACAAGCAAGAGTACAGACATATATATATAAAACTAGACAAGCAAGAGCAGGTATATATATATGACACAGTACAAGTAAAGTCAAGAGGAGAGCAAGTGAGGCAAGACAGGCACAAGACCCAGCTGGGTGCAGAAGCGCTGATGGTCACAAGGCGCAAGTGCCTTGGTGAACACATCAGCAGTGTTGGCCTCAGAGGCCACGTACGCAAGTCGCAACTGACCACGCTGCTGCAACTCACGAGCAAGGAAGTAGCGGAGAGCAATGTGCTTCGTTCTGTGCTCCAAGCGCTGCTCTCGACACAAGGCCAGCATAGCCTTGTTGTCTACGTACAGCACTGGAGGAGAACGAGGCGGCTCTCCAAGGTCAGTCAGCAGGTAGGTGAGCCAGCGAAGCTCCTGTGCAGCCATGGCTCCGGCGTAGATCTCAGCCTCACAACTGGAGCCGAGAACCGAAGACGAGCGAGTAGACCGCCACGAGACAGAGCCGGAACCAAGGCTGAAGGTGTAACCCTGTGACGACCGCTGCGTAGCCTGGTCGTCAGCCCAAGAAGCGTCCGCGTGGCCGGTAAGGACCACTGGACTCCGCCCTCCAAGCACTAGCCCCATGCCTGACGTACTGCACAGGTAGCGCAATACCCTCTTCGCTGCAGCCATGTGCTCCGGTCTGTGTCTCCCAGGAGCAACATAGCGTGCAAGAATGCTCAGAGGGTATGCAAGGTCAGGTCGTGTGCAGGTCATCAGGTACATGAGGCAGCCAACAAGCTCTGCATACGGACCACTCGACTCTACGGACTCATCCGAAGGCAGAGCTGAGAGTGAGTGGCGAGTAGGCAGAGGAGTGGCCTGAGGCGAGGAGTACGTGAAGCCGAAGCGCTGAAGGACCTGCTGCACCATGTGTGACTGAGTCAAGGTAATGGTGCGGCGTGCTCTGTCCCGAGTGATCTGCAAGCCAAGGTAGCTGCGCAGTTCACCCAGGTCTGTGCACGTGTGTCTCTTCAGCAGCTCGGACTTCACGTAGGCGAGTCCAGCAGTGTCCGCTGTGGCAAAGACCAAGTCGTCGACGTACACGAGGATGTAGAACGGCGGCAGGGAAGTGTCGGTGCGAAGAAACAGCGACGGGTCAGCAGTAGAAGGAGCAAACCCAAGAGCCGCAAGCGTAGTCCTCAGTGTGTCGTGCCACTCACGCGGTGCCTGGCGGAGACCGTAGACTGGCCGTCTGAGGCTCCACTGGGTGCCAGGAGGGAAAGTCCCAGTGAAGCCAGGTGGACGGCGAAGCCAGATCTCCTCGTGCAGGCTACCCTGCAAGAACGCAGTGCTGAAGTCGAGAGAGTGAAGCTCGTAGTCGCGCTGAGCGGCTATGTGCAGCAGCACCCGAAGAGTAGTCATCTTCGGGGTGGGAGAGAAGGTCTGAAAGTAGTCAACTCCCTGCCGCTGACTGAAGCCACGAGCAACGTACCGTGCCTTGAAGACAGGTGGAGAGCCCGGCGGCCGCTTCACCCTGAAGATCCACATGCCACTGACGATGTTCGCCCCAGGAGGGGGAACCGCGTCAACGTAGGTGCCTGTGGACTTCCAGGAAGCCATCTCTGCATCCATGGCTGCCTGCCACTGAGAGGAGTAGGGGCCCTCTACGGCCTCCGCGTAAGAACGCGGAGTCGGGATGTCTAGTGCATCCGGGTCTCCCTCAGGGGCAAGCAGTACAGACGCGAGATGAGGTGAAGCAGCCGCTAGACACTGTAGCTCCTCCTGCCTGTCCTCTAGGACGTCCGTGCCAAGAGCACACTCACCCCCGACGGACGGAGGACAGACAGACGCAGACTCAGCAACAAGACTAGCAGCGTAGTCGAGACGACAGCGAGCAGCAAAGTCGACGAGCTCAGCGACTAGAGCAGACGCAGCAGTGGACTCAAAAGAGGGGTCAGTGACGACAGTAGCAAGCAGACGCGTGACAGTAGGACTCGCAGCGCGAAGAGAGTCCGACTCAGGGTCGGCAAGCGCAGGAAGAGAGGACTCAGGAGGAGAAGGCAAAGGGGCACGCAGAGGAGCAGTGGACGGACGCAGAGACATCCGGTGCGTGCCAGGGACAGGAGGAGGACGCTGACGCGAACTGCGACCACTAGCGCGAGCAGCACGAACAGGCGACGCGGGGCAAGACGCAGGCTCACGACGCTCAGCAAGACCTCCAGTAGGACCAGTGTAAGGAGAGGGAGCAGGCAGTGGAGAGGAAGGCTCCAGTAGGGACTGCGACTGGACAGGCGGTGGACCCTCTACTGGAGGAGAAAGACCAAGAACCTGCTGAAGGAGCGGAACGAAGTACGGCCGAGGCCGCGCGGCAGCTCCAGTCTCAGCAGGGACAGCACCAGCACCCTCAGCGACAGCACCAGCGCCACCCACACCTCCAGCGGCAGGACCAACAGCAGCAGGCTCAGCACGAACGCCCTTAGCAGCTCCAGCTCCAGGAGGACCCGCAGGTCCAGCAGCTCCGGGACCGGCAGCACCCGCACCCTCGACGAACGAAGAAGCTCCAGCTCCAGCTCTAGCAGCACCTCCAGACTCAGCAGCACGCCTCCAGCGGCGAGTGAACCACTCGCGCAGATCCTGTGGAGAGAGGGGCTCCCGGCGAGACGCAGCAGCAGGAGAAACCCCAGGCTCAGCAGCTCCAGACGCAGCACCCCCAGGCTCAGCAGCTCCCAGCTCAGCACCCCCAGGCTCAGCAGCTCCCGACCCAGCACCCCCAGACCCAGCACCTCCAGGCACAGCACCCCCCGGCTCAGCACCCCCAGGCTCCGCACCCACCGCTGTAGCACCCTCAGGCCCAGCACCCCCAGCAGTAGCACCCTCAGGCACAGCACCCCCGCGCACAGTACCCCCAGAGTCAGCACCCCCAGGCTCAGCACCCGCAGCAGCACCAGAGTCACCAGTAACCTCGACCGGGTCAACGGCGTCTACCTGGGACACACCTGAGGGGGCAGGAACCTGAGGGGGGAGGGGGTCTACCGGGGGGGGAACCGGCACAAGGAAGTCCGGGGGAGGGGGGAGGGAAGGAGTGCGGTAGGGGAAGAGACGGTAGAAGGGGACTGACTCGTCGAACGTGACGTCCTGGGAGGACAGAACACGACGAGAGGAGGGGTGGTAAAACTGCCACCCTGGGGCGTCAGTGGGGAAGCCAAGGAAGACACAGGGAGCAGCACGAGGGGACAGCTTGTCCGCAGACAAGTCGCGGACAAACGCCCGAGATCCCCAGACACGCAACACAGACGCATCGCCAACCTTCCCCGTCCACAGCAAGGCTGGGGACATAGCAGGCCGAGAGACCCGGGGGTGAAGGTTGAGCTGATGCGCCGCGTACCTCACCGCAAACGGCCACAGAAAATGGGGGGCAGCCGCATGCATCA